CTAAAAAAACCTAAAGTTTAGATACATGTAGTACTACCTGTACTTGTTCTTGAAAAACAATATACAGTCAGCAATCATTCTACTAGAAGTACAGTAGGTGGTAAGGGCTACATTTTTGAAAAGCATTTAATCACCCACAAAATAGATTACAGCAAAGACCGAGTTGACATCAATGATTTATTACTTGGACTAAATAATATATAAATTACATGACTTGACAACAGAGGAGACCATAGTGTCAAAGGCATGACCCATTGATTGTGAATGTTGAAAATTCTTGGGTCAGAGAATTGCTGCCCTTCTTATCCTACTAGCTAAAGACGATTGAACGTTTATCCCTTAATTCTTTCTTCTATAATTATAGAAGGAGGATTTGAATAATACCTTAACAACTATGATATTCTACATGCCGGTTATTTTGAAGATTATGCTTCTTGAAAAAAAAAGCATCAGCACTGTCAATGACAGTACTTTATGTTCTTTACTGCTACTACGGTCCACGTCACTTTCACATTCACAAAACTGTAATGTCTTCCATGTAGTTCAAACCTTTATTTACTGTACAGGTAGACTCTCGTAATTGATTGATCACCAACTTGTCTTGTTTATACTCAATTTGACATTATTCTTTTATCCATTTTGTAATTATGTATCTTGTCATTGTATTTTACTCTTGTTTTATGTTTTTGAGTAGAAGGTCACAGTCACATAAGCAACTGGGCATCTTGCCTAGTACTCAATAAATATATGATTGTGAATGAATAAGAAAAAAATATTAGTCTTTCCAGGATTGATATTCATGTGATGTATCTGTCAATAAATGTAGAGACAGGGCTTGACTGAGGGGGTGGGTCTGCTGATGACCTCCACACAAGTCGATCAGACATGCTCATTATATAGGTTTATTGAGGAAAAACTCTCCTTAAAGGCATCCAAATGCAATTTCAGGGAGTCAAAACGAAATATATTCTGGATATTAGGGAAAGCTGTCTGATATTGACATTTACTGCCATTTCCAAGCACATTTTCATGATCATTTTATACTTACTTTAAGCATTTGAAATAGCCCAAAAAAGATTAGCTACATGAGGCATCTCTTTATTGTTTGGGTACCGCCCATAAATAATCTAGAAGAACCAGCCTATGATACAAAACAAGCAACTGTTTCCGTCAGTGACATCACATTTTCCCCACAGATATCAGTATGCTATATGGGATAGGATTGATTCCAGCTTACCACATTGACAAAATGACCAGAAAATTGACTTTGGAAATCCAGTTTTGCCGCCCTGAAATTGCATCGGAAGCCTTTAAAGGGAAAGTGTGATGCATGATGGGATTACTGACTGGTAGTCAGCAGACATATGACCTTCGTGAATCATGTGATTACAAATGTACAGTTACAAGATTGAAGACAAGCAACATTTTATGATGGATTGTCCACTTTTATTTTTATGATGATAAACGCACAAAGCTGTTCAACCTTCCCTCTTGCTCAACGGAATTTGTTACATTTCATGATATAGATAGATTCAATTTCATTCTAGCAGGCAATACTAGTACATCAAAGAATGTTTAGACCTTAGAACAAGTAGTATAAGCTGATTCATCTATTGTCTTTATGAAGCAAGTTTGAACTGTAAATTCCAACACAAGAGATTGGACTCACCCAAATTTTTGACTGTACTACTCCAGTCTTTGTCAAGGAATGAACAATCCACCACTTCCGTGACTCCATGAGCAGTGGATCATAGGTTGCAGGGAGTCTGTGGCGCCCCCCGTCCCTGTTGAGGCATGGCTGTAATGCCCTGATGTAGATGGCCTCTTTAATCCCTTACAAATGTTATTGCTCTGTAGTGATAGATGTAGACAGCAACAGACTGATTAAACCCAAGGGTCTAAGTAGGTATCAAAAAAATTGTTTTTTCCACAGCGTCTTCAAAGTCAGATTTGTACAGCACACAGGGGTTTTCTTTTACACAACCAGTATTGTCTCTTACCTTTCTGATGTTTTGGTGTCCATCAGACACCTTAGAGCTTCTGACTGGAGTTTCTGAAATGTAAGCAATATTGGTTGTGTAAAAGGAAACCCCTATATCCTATACTCTACCAACCTGATGAAACTATTTGCGGAAGTCAGGTTTGTTTGGCCTTGAGTCCAGCAAGGATTTAGTTGTTGATCCTCCCTTTCTTTGTACTTTATTAAACATTGCACCGGTCCTAACGATTTCTGACAATTTGATGAAGGATTTTGCGCTGGGTTGTACCATGGTGTAAGTAGCTGTCAGTTTTACTCCTTGTGTTATAACAAGGTTATTTCCTTTTTCCCACCGTTGGTTACTTGATAAGAGTGAGGCGGCGCTGTGGTTGTTGAACTTTTGCCAGTTGTTGGGCGTCACAACATGAAATATTGCATGTGGCATCGTGTCAACTGGGTTGCTGCTACCTGGTCTCTTTTAAGCTGCGCATGGCTCCTAGGGCAATGTTGATAAAAGATATCATGATATATGTTATGCATCTTTTACACACATGTACATGTAAGTTTTCTGTAAGTATGGCTTGCAGTGAGTCTGATATAGATTTTGAACTGTAGCAATTGTCAGTTGTAAGAGTGGAACTGCCTTTTGGTGTCACAAACATTTAGAGCAAGGGTCTTAGTTACTTTCTGTAACAAGTAATTCATTCTCCTACCCTTATACTCCAGTTATCTAACCTAGATGCATATGGCCCATGTAGTGCATGAATATGCAATTAAGTTCACTAAACTTGTAGGAATACAATCTAAGCTTTTTTTCTGCAAATTTTGATACAAATATACAATGTCATGTAGGATTGACCTGACCAGTTCTAAGTCCTGAATGTCATTGCCGAACTATATTGATTTCCAGTGCTGGCAGCAGGTGCAGAGTTTCTAACTGTTCCTGCCTGACAGATCACTTACTACACTTTGCCATTGATTTTTGGATAGCTGCTTATTACGTCATACATTCTGCTTCCAATAGTGTAGGACTGATGTGGCATGTTCTGCTGATTAATTGTTGCATGCACGTGGCAAACTCTTAAATCAAGAAGGCAACATCTGGTGAAACCGATATTTCTTTTCTTTTCCTTCTAACCTCTTGTTGAACCCTACTGCAGGTTATATACTAATACTATTATTATAGTATTACATACACTCGTACAACTTTTAATAACAAGAAGTTTATTGCAAATTCATGCCCAGAGGCTAATTGGAAATTACAAACATAAAAGAACATTGAAACAGAGTTTAAAATAACTAAGATCTATATGATAAATGGTAGTTGTCTAAAACTATAGCTATGTCTAAAACTATGTCTGAAGGGTTTGACTTCTCTTCTGTAAGCCATGGAAGACTTATACTTACATGTATAGCACAACACGTACATGTATATTTTATGTACATACATTGTACTATTAAGTACATACTGTATTCAGAGTTAAGAATATTATTACTTGTAGGAGAAAACTTCCTGCAAAAATGGTCATATGCTGAAATATCTCCTCCCAAGAAAAACAGGAACCTCTTCAATGAATCTGATGATGTTCTCAGTGCCTGATTATGTTTTTGGTATTTAAGATTGTCTTCTTGTAATCCATGATCTCTTTAGAGGCCAGAATGAACCCATACATGTAGCTGAGAGAAGGTATTGAATCCAAAAATGGGTTCATTTAAGGTCAGCTATGATGGAAGGAAATATTCATATCTTCTTTCCGGCAATGTCATAGCTGGTGAAAGTTAATGCGATATGCCGGCAATAAAAGTTCAAAGGTGTTACTGCAGATTAGGTGCATCTGGTGGATACTACAGGGAATTTATAATCCTTGTGCCACGGTCTCAGCGCTTTTCTGGTGATAGCTGGTCCCTCGTGGCTTACTTAATGCCTGTATCTCCCATAACAGTGCAGGTTTTTATTTTATGGTCATGCTGTATCATCTTTAGCAGGAACAGGTGGTGTTTGAGATAGGACAACAGGGCTCAAAATCCGTTTCTTCTGCAAGCTTGCACTGGTGTAGTTAGCACTGGAAACCACCTGCACCAGACAAATTTTACCTGTACCACTCAGAATTTAGGAAATATGGATCATACCTGATAAACTGTTGCCATTATTTCTTACTACTTCATAGATGGTACTAAAACTCCTCAATACAGGTAATGAAAGTCCACATACATGTATATATGTCACAGTAAACTGGCATGAGTGACTCCAGAATGACATCTTAACCCCAAATGAAGTTGGTTGTGTCATATTCTATTATACAAAGCATTGTATAGGCAGATGTATTCAACATCTTGCTCTTTGTTGACCTCTTTCTGTCTTGACAATTGCTTGTACATTGCACATTGTTTAAATGTGACCCTTTTCTCTGTTTCATAGTTGTATTATAAAAAGTTGTCTCACTCAGTATCAAAAGTGCAACCTGCTGATAATGTTATGTACTGCAGTATTTTGTATCATATGGTTGTGCTACATGTATGAGATACAGAAAATCAGTATCACCATTTACTAGTGCAGCCTAGCAGTTACAGATAGCAGTGCAGCACAGTCAAATAATAGTAAGAGGCCAGTTTCTGACGGTTTCAGGCCCAACATACCCCAAGGAAATCATACCGCTGCCTTCCTCAGTTAGGCCTACATTGTATTGTGTTATGCATCTGGCATCCAGGCTAGAAGGAGGCTAATGATGATATGTACAGATCTTTGAGAGCAGAAAACCCAAAGCTTTAATTTACTTATACATGTATGTCGGGACCTGCCTGGACCAAAAACATTGTCTACTTAGACAGAAGGAGGCTGCCACTGGTGATAGTCATGATACCTGTACAGTACAGTCATGATTGTACATAGCTGGTGTGTTATGCCGAGGGGCTGTTATACTGGCTATACAGATATATTTAAATATATGTAGAGTTCTTTGAGAGCATGAACAAAGCTTTAATCTGCATGAATGTTTACCAGACTTTTAAATATATTTTCCAGGTACTCCGAGGAGGAGATTGAGCGTAAGGTGGCGACGTTCCGGCGCATGCTGATGGAGAAGGAAGGCGTCGGCTCCACCAGCGCCGGGGGCAAGGAGGAGGAGGTGGAGAGGGGACCTGGTCGTCCAAGGTGAGGGAACATTTATTTATCAATTTAATCTCAAGTATGTATGTATGTCAAGACAGCTTGGTAGCCCAGCATTTTACAAGACATGATATTGTTACATTCAGTCAAACAAAGGAAGAAAACATACAGTATACAAAAAAACAGCCCAGAAAGTCCAGTGCGTCAAAACAGAGTGACTGTCATAGTTCAGTACTCAAAGTCCTAGGCGTTACATGATCAAAATTAAGAAGTCAAAATTTTGAGTTGACGACAGAGGTCAAGATGTTACATAAGGCGTACTTCATAAGGTGGACATGACTTGGCCAGGCCTCTATTTGGCTATATTGTAGTGCCATCTATCGGTTTCCTTCATAATTGCAACTTTCTGCATTGTGTTTCTGCAAGTTGCATCAAACTACATGTAGTAACAGAAGAATGGTATACAGCATCCTCTTTGGTTGAAATTGAATGGAACCAGTATGACAAACACTCAGGTATACAGTGCCCTTGTCAGTTGAGGTTATGTGGGTCATGTGACAGATTGTGAATATGAAGAAATGGATGTTAGATTGCTTTCAAATGAGTATGTCATGTTATGGCTTGACAAGGAATCAGATGAGGATGACATTGCTGAGAAGAATTCCGTGATCCTGATTCTGAAGGTCAAATGGTCATGGTAAGATTTGCACAGTTAAAGGAAAAGACTCGAACATGCTCTCAGTACATGATGCAATTTTCAACACCTACTGAACACATATATTACATACAGTAATGCAGTTTACTTTTGCCCCAAGAATGACACTTATGCAGTTTTGGTTACATGTTAAAGTGCATGTATTGTTGCCCATCTCCGTTTCGTAACCCTTGGGCCACACAGTTGTGCAATCACTACAGCAGGGGGCTAGTCCACTGGTAGTGTTGTGTGTTTAACTCCCATCCTCCTTCCCAAATGCTGAGAGAAGTTACATGTAGCTCATGTAATGTTACTGTATAGTGTTACATGACCTTTTGAAATGGCGAAGGTTGTAGCAAGTCTTTGCTGCTTTCAGAAACACAATGACCTTGTGAAATGTCGAGGGTTCTAGCAAGTCTTCGCTTTCAGAAACAGAATGACCTTGTGAAATGGTGAAGGTCTTTGCTTTCAGAAACAGAACGACCTTGTGAAATGGAGAAGGTCACAGCAAGTCCTTGCTATCAGAAACACATGACCTTGTGAAGTGGTGAAGGTCATAGCAAGTCACATGTATGGTGGGTTTTGTTATATGATAGTGTTACATGACCTTGTGAAGGTCATAGAAAGTCTTTGCATTCAGAAACACAATGACCTTGTGAAGTGGTGAAGGTCACAGCAAGTCTTCGCTTTCGGAAGCACGAAATACGTGCAGCGAACCCGGGATTAACATGAGCTATGGGCTGCGACAACCCGGTAGACATGTAGTCAGCGAATAAGCCTGTGGCTCCGAGCATGAAATCTGTAACGATGAGAAATGCGCGCGACTGTTGGAGCGGATCCAAGCTGAACTGTCGTAAGTTTCGAAACGTCTGCCCACCTATTCATCACCAGGTGCCTCGGGAGTATTCTGGTGGTGCAATGTGGTTTTGCAACTCCTTTAGCAGCTTTACGTTACATGTTGTTACATTCAGTATTATCTACTGTAATTTACAAAGATTACAAAAACAGTGTTTTGATTTTGAGCTTGAATTTGAGTATTCTGGTGGTGCAAATATGGGACCCACTGTGGTTTGGGAAAGCTGCATTTTGCAACTCCTTTATCAGTTTTATCTTACATGTTAGTACATGTACATTTGATACAGAAGGTATCGACTGCTTTTTGCAAAGACAACTGTATTTTGTACATGTATTTTGATATTGAGCCTGAATTTTATTTGTTTAAAGGAACTTGCACAGTTACATGTAGGTCATAGTTTTCGGGACTGACTGACTGACAGAGAGACTGTATATCACAAACTTTTTTGGTTGACCGCTGTTACAGATTTTCAGGTATATCAAATGGTGTTCTGATGTCTACAAATTTGAGAATGCATCATACACGTTTACTTTGTGTTCACTGGAAATGAGCATTGATTGTTGTGGAGTTTGTACAACATGTGGTCCTTCTAAGAACTGCTTGTTTTTTCTTAGAACTGCTTGATGAAATGCCCACAAAGGAACCATGCATCTCACGTCGAAACAGTTAATTGCAACATCCAATATACAAGACAAATCTGTATCTTAGTGGCTTAAGTTTTGAGGGTCCCTTAAGTATTGGGCTCTACTACTTCAGTAGCCTCAAGGGGTGAAGCATGTGAAAAAAAAGTAGGGCATCTCGTAACTTAGATGTACATGAATGCAAACTAAGAAATTGAGATCTAACTGATATAGAATTCATTAAGTTTATAGCTTATAGCCACCGGGCTATTTGGAGTGCTTATGCTTTTTCTTTATGGCTTTAATCTGTTGAAACGTACAACACCATCATGAAAAAAGATGTGAGGAAAGTTTTAGCAGCTTTTGAAGACTGCTATATATTAAGATACAGAAGATCAATGAAGTTATAGCCACCAGACTTTTTGGAGTGTTTATACTTACATATGGCTTTAATCTGTTGAAACGTACACCACCATCATGAAAAAAGATGTGACGAAAGCTTTAGCAGCTTTTGAAGACTGTCCTGTGTTAAGAAGAATACAGAAGATCAATGAAGTGGCAGAGGAAACCACCCAGACATTAGTCTGTATTTCAAACCTCTGATATCCGTTAGGCTTGCTGTTTGATACTGTCATTTGTATCCAGTGTTTTCCTTAGAAGTCTGGCGGTATTTCCCTTAGCCTATCTGTCAACCCAGTTTTGTCAGACGTCTGTCTGTATTAAGTTATACCCTGCAGGTTGGTAAAGATTTAGTGTTATAGTTGCAAGAATATTCATGCATATTACATGTAAATGGAACACAAGTTTGTCTTGCATATTGAAATGTATGATAAAAAGAATTTGCAGGGCCTGGCCAGTATTCTCAGAACTACATTGTACATGTACAAAGTCCTGTGTTTTCAGAGCTACATTGTACATGTACAAAGCATACCTGTATGCCCTCTCTCCCCCACATGATTCTAAAGCTACAGTAGCGTCAGATCCTTTGGTATAGGACTGTCACGTTTTATGAATCCAACAATAGCAGAGTCTGACATACAGTACTGTACTAAACTTAGTAACCCTTGGATCCCAAACAACCTTTGACTGCTCGCCTATGACACTGTTATTCAATCAGCAAAATAGCATTTGGACAGCATTCAATTTTCACCATGGCTGTGGGAGACTCATCTCTCTAATTGAAAGGGGGTGGATAAAAATTGAATTATTCATTGCATGCAGGTGTACATTCCAGCCGTCTGAAAGGTAGCATAGCCATCAAAATAAATACCCAGCTTTGTACATCTGTATGTGTCTAGATGTGCTGTATTGTTAGTCTTGCATGGGAAAGCTGACTTTTGAAATGAGATAGAGATGCCTGTCTCCAGAGAGATCATGGCTACCCTTATATCAACAAGCATTCAAAGTCTAGAGAAATTTTAACAAAAGTGCATAGAATAAATGAACTTCAATACAACCTCCCTCCTTTGCTTTTCAATTTCTTTTTGCCTGTAGACCATAACCGTTTTATAAGTTGTTTCTAGTTTGCTGCCTAATGCCTCTGCATTTTTTTGCTGTTGCTGTCAGAATAAACAAGTTGTTCCTGTGACTTTTGAGGAAAAATTTGGGCAGATTGCAAATTTTTGCAAAAATAGAGAAAACTACATTAAATATTGTAGTTCAAAGAAGTATAAGTATACATTATATACTTCAGTCAAGTGTATTGTACGCCTGTATTTAATTTACTGTTAACTATTATATCATATTTAGATGAAATGGATGTCATTCAAACACTTCGAAAAATCTACTTATCAAAAAATTTAATCAAAATACTGTCAACTGAAGCATTCAGCCAAACGAAAACCTTCAATCTTCTTTTCAGACGGGCACAATGTAAATTATAGATCAAGGATGGAGCCTTAATTAGGTTTGCGGACCGGTATAGATTGCATGGAGATATATGTTGGGGCCAGATGGCAGTCATCGAGTGACCTATTTTGAACCACCTGAAACATCAGCACAGTGGGAGATCATAGGAATATATACATAGTATATTAGAGCACATCGGCATAACGTACTGTACCTGCGCATAACCTGTAATATATTGTGCATAGCACTTTGGCAGAATGTCTCATATAAGGTTGTATTCACCATGGACATTCTACTTGTATTCATGTATAACATTCCATCAGTAGTTTCCAAATGTTGTCGGAAAAGATATCTTCTGCAACAGACAAAATTCTAATGCAACATTAACCAAAAATCCAACGAAAACCGTCAAAAATGGGGGGGGGGGGCTCGCGCATGGGCAGCACGTTCTGTCGACATGCTGTATTAGGCCTGTCTGTGGCCTATTCCATTTTTAAACTAGAGGGATGCAGTTGATGACATTTCAGCAGACCCAGCGTGGCCTTAGGTGGCAAGGTGGTCAGAGGCAGCAAGGTGGTCATTTAAGGTGGCAAGATGGTCTTGTAGTTTAGAGTTGTTGACTTACATGTAGACGTACTCCAAAGATTCTGGCAGGCCTCATTGTTATGTCTTTGGGAAATATACTTATAACAAAGATCTATCATATTGGACATATTTTTACACAGGAGAGCTGGTATACTGTAATTAATGGCTGAAGTATGGAAATGCTAAATTTGAAGATCCATCATTCAAATTCATGTAGCAGCAGTGCGTCACTGCTGGGAAAAGGAAAGGCTTTGAAAAGTTTGATGCAGAGTACGTACACGTAAGTATGTCCCCATCTCGTGAGATTCATTTAGAGGCCCACGCTTCCACAGATGCCTGATGTGGTGCCTATCAGACAAATCCCTCTCTGTAGGCCTAGGAAAAATAAGTTGTGTTTCCTGTTTCTCGACCGACCCTAGAAAAAAACTGCCAACCCTGCCTG